CCCGCCCCACCGCGCGCGCGGGGGGCCGGACGTGACTGGCCGCGTTCAATTTGTCACGCGGCCATTGGCTGGCGGGGGCGGGCGGCGCGTGACGTCAACGCGCGGCGCTGCGCGGCCGGCGGCCATTTATAGGCGCGGAACGGGCGCTGCGCAGACGGAGTGAGCGGGCGGTACCGGGAGTACCGGCGGCTGTATCGCGGCCCATCCCCGCGGGAGTGCCGAGAAACCCCCCGCGGAGCCCCGATCCACCTTTTCCGAGCGCCCCTTCGGCCGCCGCTGAGCTTTTTGTTTCTGTTCGCGCAGCGCCTGAGCGCCCCTGCCCAGCTTTGTTCTCCTTGCGGCCCCTGCGGGGTAAGGCGCGGCCAAGATGGACCCTTGTCACACCGAGGAGACCGAGGGCGAGATCCCCGGCTTGGGTAAGGCCCGGCGAGGGGGTGGCGGGAGGGAGGGAGGGAGGAATAGGCGATCGGGCCCTCGTGGTGCCGCCCGCTCGGGCCCGGTGCCGCGGAGGCCCCCGTGCTGCGGGGGGGGGGCGGGGGAGCTGGGAGGGGTGGGCGTAAGATCGCCAACGGAGATAAGCGTAAATTACAGTTTATTGCAGGTCTAACGTCCAGCCTTAAGTAGCGTAAATCCGGTGGAAACGGCCACTCAGTAAAGCAGAAGTTGAAAGTAAAGGTTTCTGGACGCCATAACAGTCTCGTCTTAAAATGGTGAACTCGTGCCAGTTATTGCAAAACAGCCCTGCTCAGCGCCTGCTATCTGTTTGCTGGGTGTCGGCCTCTCGCTGAGCTCCCCCGTGGGGACAGTCACTCGAGAGGCAATATTACTTTTAAATCTTTATTAAACAACAGAGAATATACAGAAAAAAACAACCACTATCAAAGCACCCCATATTTGTTCTTTTTAGTTATACAAAAAAGTTTATCAAAAGCCACACTGCTCATAAAAAGATAAAAATCAACTCCAAATCATGTTGTTGCATTTCGGGCTTGCTTTAAAAATAAGCTATATAGGTAATGCATTTTGTTTTAAGTAAATTTTTAAACACACAGATTGTTGAGTCAACTTCAGGGACTTGTTATTCGAATTAATTTTCATCTTCTAAAGAAGTCAGGAATGACTTGACCTATCAAAAAAACAAAAAGCATGTATTATTTGGTAAATTAAAAGCTAATGTACCAGGCTTTTCCCTTTATTTGGGAAGAAATTGTTTATTACTGTGGTTTTCCAGTGATGTTTTGCCCCTGTATTTAATTAATGAGCTGAAATGCATGTGGCCTTTCAGAGGGGCAAGGTAGATGGCATGACTGAGTTCTCAAAACTAAGCTATTAATTGCTGGGTTCCATGAGGATGTAATGACAAATACCTCCACAATTCATCACTGGGCTCCCCTTCCCAGTTAATTTAGAGCTGTTAAATTGAGGGAATTAGTCTTTGGGTAGGGTCATTCTTCAGTAATCTCGATGCCCCAGATCAAGATGAAGAAAATGGTTTTTATAGGGTTTGCTAGGGAAGAGCACTTCCTTATTCTTTTAAGTATTAGGTGGAGTTTTTTTCTCCCCTTGGACTAGCCAAACAACTCCAAAATTTCTTTTGGCATTTACTTCCCAAGTCTTGCCTTTCCTTGGAATTGCTAAACGCCATTTTGACTAAAGTAACCTCTTTATTCCCAACTTGTCTTCTCTAATGGTTGTTTACTTTCCCTCCCCACTCTGGAAGTGTCACTGCATGCATGATAACTACAGCAGAAGAGCAGGTACAAATCCCCCAGTACTTCATACTTACTTTATCAATCAGGTACTCTTGTTTAATTTTATCGTTCTTAAAATCCTCATTAACATCCAAAACGAGAATAGGAATCTCCTTAATGTTGTCAAAATCAACTCTGTTAAAGTGGAAGAACATAGTTTCAGTAAAATCCACATTAAATACTGTACATTCAAGACCCCAACTCTTGATTAGCATATGTACCTGAAATGTTAAAGCTCATGCTCATAACTTAAATATGAAGCCCATGCCAAGTTTGTCCTTAATTGCTCTTCATATATTTCACACATCTGGACTCTCAGTATCTATCTGTAATGTATATGTGGGGGGAAGATAGTTTTTACCTTAATGTCCTTTTTCTCAGTCTTGTCATGGAATCACTTGCCAGGAACTGATTTTTTTAAGATGGAGTATTTTTTTCAAAATCTCTCCTGCCCTGTGTTTCCCCCACTTAATCCACTTACCGAGATGCAATTTTAAAGCTTCCTTTCATAAGGATGACCTCTTTAACAGGTTATAAGACTGGTATTTATAACCAGTCATTATTATTATAAGACCATTTTGGCTTCAGTTTGGGAACAGATGGGAGCAGTAGTTAGTTTTTCTGAGCGTAGAAGGCATTTCTAAAATGCAGTTTGTGTGCTCAACAACATTCTAACTTTTGCTTGCACGCTTCAGTTCCTATTCCAAACTCAGGAAGTGAGTACACAACGTAAACATTCCCAAAATTCCACACTATGCACTGCCTTCTGTCTCCTAAACACTTGGGTCATCCTATGTGAAACTTCAGCAAGTAGATTAAACTGATAATGTACCTTTCCTGGAATTGTAATGCTTCCCCTTCAGTAGAATATTTTGGACTCCTCTAGGGAAAAATCTCGAGTCTGTTTTCATATTCAGAGGTTCTTCAGTAAGAGTCAGTAAGGAACTCAAAGGAAGGTGTGCAGACATCACTCAGTTGCTAATTAGGTTTCTTGTGTGTAGCAGGTCTGCCAAAAGCCTTTCTGATTATTGTTTTAAATTTAAGTTAGGATTAATATTTAAACTTTGTTGAAATGCAGTCCTGCTAGTTTAAAGGTAGCAGGGGCCTTGTTTGCCCCTTACATTGCAACAGAAGCTGTGTGGTGAGAAATGTATGTGATTGTTCCCTGGCCACCATTTTAAGTGTCTTGTTCCTCAGTCCTTCCAATTAGCAAAATCCATGTCCTTGCTGGAGTTACAACTGTAAAACTTTCTAGTTGAAGCCAATGCTTAACAAAGGTTTCAAATTAGATGAAGTTACATCTCTTGAAATCTGAAGTGGGTACAAATATGAGTGTATCCAGCTGCCTGAGTGAAACTAGACTTGCCCTAAACTTGGTAAAACTAAGGCTTTATGGTAGGAAAGAGCCTTGCCTGCAAGTTGAAACTTGCTACAGAAAATGGATTCCTACCTCATAGTCCTTTCATGAAGCCAGGTTTCATGTTTATAGTGGAGGTTTTCCAAATACTCAAGCTCAATTCCTTGCTCCTCTTTTCTTCCCCTCATCTGTAGCCTTTCCATGCATTTCTGGGGGGGAAAAAAAAAAGAAAAAAGTATAAACCTGGTTATTAATCATGTGTTTTAGGTTAAATCAGCTAAATGGATCAAGTAGTCCTTAACTTGGAAGGACTAATGCTAGACATTAGTGAGCATTAATTTTAAATGGTTGGCTGGACATAAATGAGTTAAATCTAGAATAACTTTTTTATACCCTCTTAAGTCTCTGGAAAATGAAACTGGAACTGAGAAACCTCCATTTTTAGTGAGCATACCTGAGGTGTGGTTCTGAGATAGATCATGCCATCCAGTTCTATATCTGATTGAAACTGATTCAAAAGCCATGTGTGCCAGTCCTGATAAATGGACCATTCTGTTTCATTAATGTTTCCAGACTCGAACAGGTTAGAAGCAAACACATATCTGCAATGAAAGACATCAGTCTCATGCCAGGAATGACAAAAGTGAACTGCCAAAACACTTGTCATAAGAACAGAATGATGGTATTGAAAAAATGCCTTAATCAAGCCTGCTCCCTTGCAGGTATTAGTTTAAATATCAAGTGTTCCCTCAGCTCCATGTCTTTAAAGACCTGGAAACTGTTAATGTGAGTTCTTGCCATGCTGTGAGAGTCATTACCTGTCACTGTACACAGATCTTTCAAAAAATTGCACTGGATGTTCTGCTTCATATAGCTTGGCTGAGAGAGGTTTTAATTGTGCTTTTACTCGGCTCAAGCAGGCATAAGTCTGAAATGTGTAAGCCCATCTTGTGGGTTTGTCATACAGCATTTGAAGTAAGTTTCCTCCACTCTTCTGAGATGTTGAAGGTTCCTAGAAAGCAAGAGAAAAAAGTTAATATGAACATACTGCTTTTCTCAAGCCAGAATTCTGATATGTTTAAGTAAGAATTCATGGCTTTCTTTTTATTACTAAGAAAATGCTTAGGCACAGGAACTAAGAGACTCTTTTTCCTCAGGTGATGGTGGTTTTCATGCAGCTTCTTTGAGCAGTTTGTTTGTGTTCCAGATTTTAGTGTGATTCCTGTGGCGTAGGGGACGTGATTTGGAATATATGTTCAGTAGTATCTTGCCTTTACAATTTGAGTGCCTGACCAACTGTGGTATGATAGTGGGGATGACTCTGGCTGCTGCAAACTAAGTATAGCTGGATTTTGGCATAGCTCCCTGACTGTGGAACTCCCTGCAGTCTCTTCCGGCCCAAATCCAGCGCACCTACCTCATACTCATCCTCGGCCGTCTTGATGTTGCACCACTTAGCGATGGGCTCGGGGATGATCTCCCACTCATCGCTGTGTTTCTCCAGCAGCCTGACAAACGTTGACTTCCCCGCAGCTGCGGAAGATTAGAGCAGTTCACGAGGGGGTGGGGGTTGATGTCAAGCCCTGGTGCTGCTGACGGACAGGGGGCAGTTTGGGGCTTGTTAGCGGCTGTTGGGGCGCGGGGCCGGCCGGCTGCGCCGCGGAGCAAACCGCGCTAATCTTTGTCGCCAGAGGGGCCGCGCCCGGCCGGGCGGGTGATAAGGGCGGCCGAGGAGCGGCCGACATTTTAGAGCTGCCGTGGCGGGCGGAGCTGAGGGGGGAGAGCGAGGGAGCGGCTGCGCAGGCGCAGGGAGTTGACCCGGGCGGGCGGCAGCGAACGAGTGCTGCAGCCCCGGGGGGGAGTGGGTGGGCATCGGGGGTTCGTGCTCCCGAGCCCGTCAAGCGCCTCGGTGTCGCTGACGGGCACCCTGCTCGGGGAGCTCCCCATCCGCCCCAGCCTCGCTCCGGGTTCATGTCCCGGTGCGGCTCTCCCTGCAGAGGCCCCCGCTGCCCGCAGAGCCGGTGGGCGAGCGCCGCAGCCGCCCCTCTCTCTGTCTCCCCCGGCATCCCAGCCCCTTGGGGTGCCCCCGGTCTGGTACCCCCCACGTTCCCCTGGACTCCCCCTACCACCCTGAGCCGCCTCCCGCACCCTGTCCGCCGAGCTCACCGATGTTCCCCTCGATGGAAATCTTCCTGAGGCGCTTCTGGAAGCTGGATTCGAGGGAGCCGGCGGGGCTCTGGCAGTGCCGCTTGGCAGGGGTAGACATGGCGGCGCCGAGCGGGAACTCAAGGGGTTCCCGGCTGCTCCAGCGCACTTTAAGCGTCCCGCCAAACGGGTGGGCGGGATGGCCGCTTCCCGCCAATCCTCCCCGGGAAGAGGCGGAGGCGCTGCCCCCTCCCCCGCCGCTCCTGCCCAGCTCCTGCCGCCTCAGTGTTACAAAATGGGCGTTCGGCAAGTGAAATGGAGAAGAGTGCTTTGTGCAGGAAGTGACTGTAGCACGGTTCCACTTACTGATCTAATTTGCATTTATGTAATCCAGTTCGCCATGTTGTTTGATTTACTTACGTAAACTTGAGCATGCACTTAAAAAAGTCAAAAAGCCTCCAGCTGTGGGGGTGGGGTGGTTGTTAGCAGTCCGGAACATGTAATGAGATGAGGCAATGTAGGCTCAGTCTGTTTTGGTACTGACTGGAAAAGAAACACTCGTGGATGAATGGCGTGCAGAGCAGCCTCTGGGCTCCAAATACCTGTGTTGGGGCTCCAGGAGCCTGCTAACTCTAGGCATAGGTCCTCTATCAACTGTGTAGACAAGCTGAAACAGGAGCTGGTCATCCAAGGGGAAAGGGGATGGAGGATTCTTAGATGATGAGTTATTCACTCTAGTAGATAGAGAACCTATGCCTACATAGGTTCTCTATCTACTGTGTAGACAAGCTGAAACAGGAGCTGGTCATCCAAGGGGAAAGGGGATGGAGGATTCTTAGATGATGAGTTATTCAAATTTCCTCCTTCCTCCTCGGTAATACAAAGTGAAATCTAGCTAGGTCTGGTGTGTTTGGAGGAAATGGGAGGGAATTAACTTTTCCGTTCTTTTATGATAATTGTGACCCATTGTCTCTTCTTTCCCCATCTCCTCCAAACACACCAGGCTTCAGTGACCGAAGCGAGCAGATTGTTTCACGTGGGGTAGCGTCAGCCTTTGAAGCTGGTAAGTGCTAGTTCGCTCGCACGGTGTGCGCAGCCAGAGCGCTCCGCTGTCCGCGCCACGCGAGGGCCGCGGCGGGCCGGGGCGGGGGCGGCGGCGCGCGGGGCATGCGCAGTGCGGCGAGCGGCGCCCAGGGCGCGCGGGGCCGGGGCTTTGTTCGGCGCGGCGGGCGGGCGGCGCGTGCGCACAGGCGGCGCGCGGGGTCTCGGGGGTGGGGCCGAACCCCACCGGGGCACATGCGCCCCGCACCCGCCCCGGCCACGCCGCGGCCGGTCCCGTGCTCGGTGCCCTCTCGTCACACGGCCCTCCCTGCGAACCGGCCGCGGGCGCTGCGGGCCCGCCAGGGCGGCGACCGGGACCGCGCTCTTTGTGCGGAGGAAGGCCCGGCCCAGCGGAAGCGGGAGCACCCGCCGCCATTTCCTAGCGCGCTCTCGCTGCAGGCTCGCCCGCTCGCTGCCGCCTGACCGGGACTAGGCGCTCTCCGGACAGTGGATCAGGCTCGGAGCCCTAGAACCAGCGCGGAGCCCCACCATGTGTGCGTGCGGGGAAGGGGCAGGGCGCGGGCCGGGGGCGGGAGCGGCGCCGTGTGTGTGAGGCGGCAGCGCCCGAGGCCGAGGAGGATCAGGGAGGGCCGGGGCACAGGCCAGGGGGGCCGCCGGGCGCTCTGAGGGGGTGCGGGTGGCGGCCGTGCCGAGCGGAATCTCAAAGGGCCCGTTCTGGTCTTTCCAGCAACCACAGAAGCAGAGACAGAGCAGAGCCTCACCCCCAATGTGATGCTTAACACCGAGAGCAGCGAGGGATACGTGGTGAAAGTCCGGGGGCTGCCTTGGTCTTGCTCCACCGAGGAGGTGCAGAGGTTCTTCTCTGGTAAGTGGGGCTGTGGGGGAATAAGAGGTGTGGGAGAGGGGTCGGGCTCTGCTGTCAGTTCTGGATCCCTCCCAGGGACCCTGTGGCAGTGGGAGTGCTGTAGTGAGCAGCTGCAGGAGGCATTCAGTAGCCGGTGCAGTTTGTAGTGCAACAAGTGCTTCAGCTAGAGCCTGGGATGGAAAGCTGTGTTCATGCTAGCAGGGACTCAGCACAGAGGGGCTTGGTCTGCGTTGCTGGGATAGCCACAACTGCATTTGCTGCTTGAGCAACCAGGAGAGAGAATGTTCAATTTTAAATCATGTTCAACCTGAAGCAAGAATTTTAAAGCTAAATCAGTTCAGTTCTTGTATTGTCCCAATACACTCATGTCTTTTGGGACAATACAAGTGTTCAGTGTGTATCCTTCCCCAAATTATTGGCATTCTGCAGTAATAAATAGTGCTGATAAATATATACTTTCTGCAGCAATTGGACTGTTTAAAACTGCTTCAGGAATTTGGTGTGTTGGACTTGGTTCTCATACAGTTTATTGCACTTACGCTGATTGTTATTATGCTTTATTTCATGCTAATAAGAAAGTTAAGATCAATAGCAGATAGTATGTTTGAGGCAGAAAAGCTTTTGAAATAGCTAATTTGCAATTAACCTTTATCTGTAGGTTTGACTAGAATGGTAACTTTAGTTAGCATCTTAGTTAATTGATGCATCTTAGTTAATTGGTCATTTTAAGGTTGCATTGCAACAGGAATGCTGCTGGTTTTGTTGTTACAATTGATACTCAGTACATTTTTGGTTTTAGGCTCTCTGGAATTTTCAAAGTAACCCTGGTCCTGTAGTAATTAATGTAATTCTGGCCTTTCTGTTTTCAGATTGCAAAATTCTGAACGGGGCTTTGGGTATCCGTTTCATCTACACCAGGGAGGGCAGACCAAGTGGAGAAGCATTTGCTGAACTTGAGTCAGAGGAGGATGTGAAATTGGCCTTGAAAAAAGACAGAGAAACAATGGGACACAGATACGTTGAAGGTTTGACTCAGTTGGTCTAGTAACTGACTACATTGTGTTTGTGCTTGATGGGTTTTTGGTTAATTGCATTTTTTGTCCCTTTAAAATGCATGTGAAAGGACAAATGGACTTGCGTATCATAAACTGACTAGTTTCAAGGCAAATGACTTTAAAAACTGTTCCTTACTCCAGAATGCATTAATTCTAAGTGCCTTTTACAGTTTTCAAGTCAAACAACGTTGAAATGGATTGGGTTCTGAAGCATACTGGTCCCAACAGCCCTGATACAGCTAATGATGGTTTTGTACGTCTTAGAGGACTCCCATTTGGCTGTAGTAAAGAAGAAATTGTACAGTTTTTTTCAGGTATGTGGGATAAAAGTAGTAGCTGTAGCACTATTGGTTCATGCTAAAAATACCCCAACAAACCTAACAGGCATGGATTGCCCATGTAGTAGTACATCCAACAGTATTATCATGGGTATTAAAAGTAAATAAAGCAATTCTTCTCTAGTTTTCTGGGCATGAGGAATCCTTTGGATCACTTCCTAAAATACTTGATAATTAATTCATTTATGGAATGCCAGAAAGGTGCTTGAATTTATACTTGGTGGGACATGCTGTTCCAAAAAAAGGATTATAGAAAAGTGTCTTGCTTTCCAAATGAAGCTGAACAGTTCATGTGGGAGGCTACTTCCACCCCCAGCCTTGGATGCTTGGCCCTGGTCAGTGAAGGATGTAGACACACACCACTGGGCTTTGTGTGAGGAGCAGGTTCTCAGTAAAGGCCCATAACCTCTTCCCAACATAGAGCTAGTATTGGGTGAAATGCAGAGAAAACCTGCTGAACTCTACCCACAGATTTACAGATTTGCCCCTTTCTCCCTATGGGGATAAAAATCCCACCAGACCCTTGATGTTGCCTAGCTCAGAGTTTTTATGGATGAAGAGATAATGTCTTGTTTTGACTAATTTTTACCTTTTTTGCAGCTGTTTTATGTTTACAAACTGGAATTAGACTATTAAAATGTCTTAAGAATGGAATATGTTGATTGTTTAGGATTTCACTTGTTGTTATTTTGAAAATACTAGATTTCTTAATGTTTTGCTATTACAAGATATGATGAAGCTTGCTGTTTTGCTTTAAAATACAGTAGAAACATTTCCAGTTTTGCAATCTCAGAACTTGCTTTTTTTTTTTGTTTGTTTTCTGAATTGGTGATATGAACAAGAGCAATTTCTAAGCATGTACATTTTAAGCTGTTTTTTTCTTACATGGTGAAGTAATTCAAGCTTTATAAGTTGTAATGTGCTTAATATACAAAATGTGTCTCTTCTGTTCAGGAACTAATACTTAAAAATAACTTCATGATTTTTTTCTTAATTAAGCACTCCTAAAGATAAAAAAATGCTGAAACTTGATGTTTGCATAAGACTTAATTATTTTACGTGACTTCTAGTAAAATTACTTGCTCTATATAAAGCTGTTTAACTTGCTGTGTTTGAATTTAAGTTCTCTTAAGTTCATCTTAAATACTTTCACAGAATTGACGAGGTTTGTAATGATGTGTGACGTTCTTAACGCACCCTGCATTAGATGCCTTCTCTGAGGGGCTGTGCCTGACCCTCAGAGCATTTCTGAGCTCTGCAGGGTGGGTTAAGAACCTGAACTGAATGGTATGTGATCGTGGAGCTCTTTGTTGACGTGCCTTTTTTATTCTGGTGTTCTAGAATCAACATACCATTCGCTTAAAAGTGTTTAAATTCTGGTGTTTTTAAAGCTATAAGAAAAAACTCATGACTGGGCTTGTGATGTTAATATTGCCCCCCTACTGGGGTTATTTGTCCTTGGGTTGAAGGGTTGGAAATCGTGCCAAATGGGATAACATTGCCGGTGGACTTCCAGGGGAGGAGTACGGGGGAGGCCTTCGTGCAGTTTGCTTCACAGGAAATAGCTGAAAAGGCTCTAAAGAAACACAAGGAAAGAATAGGGCACAGGTGGGGATGGATGGTTGGTTGGCTCTGTCACTTTTCTTATGGTAAACAATTAAATCCATATTCTCTCTTCTGAAAGTGCTAACACCCAAATCAAAATAGCATTGTGGTCTCTAACTTGGTGATGAGTAAGGGTAATGATTGCTACAGTGTGTGTGGCACAGACTGTTTAGATCTACCCAAAAATACAAGATAAAATTGGACTAAACTAAAATGTGCTTTGGAAAATGAGTAATAACAGGCGTTCAAAACTATAGCTTGGAAATGACAAAGTTGAGAGACTATGGCTTTAACTTCTCAAATAGCACCAATTCTGCCTTTAGCTCTAAAGACATGCACAGTATTCTTACTACCATAAGAAAATGTGATACTTTCTAAACTTGTTTTATAAGTTGAAATGTAACAAATTTACTTACTTGTATTAATCTTCAATGTAATAAGCATAGCTTTCAAGAAATTGTCACAAAGGGTTTTTATTCAATTTTTACTTGTGACTATTTTTCATTGAAGCATGCACCTTTTGCCTACGCTGAATCACTGAAGCATAGGCTGGGTTCAGTAGTACATGCAGAGCTTTTTGTGGCATCCTGATGGGTTAAACTCTCGGTGGAGATCGGGTTTTTAACCCTCTGTTTCTGTTGCCTCGAGCAACCGTGCTGAGTTGAGTGGACACTGGTCCCTCCTACATTGTTTGACTAACATTTTAAATTGGGGGGAGGTGGGTGGGGAATCAATATTGCTCCCCCACCCTTATGGCTGGGATACTGCAAAGTATAAGGAGCACATAAACCCTTCAGT